ATTAGTGGAGATCTCTAATGACAATTGGACATATTCTTTATGAAACCATATTCTTTAAATGGTAAAGCAATTACACTGCAACCTCACTTCCAATAGTTCTAGAGATGTTTTTCATGAGGATGGGTGTCATGGGTAAATGTACATGTGTTTCTCTGTCAGAGAAACTATAATGACATCTGCATGATCAAATACACATACATCATCTCATATACTGTTTCTCAGTTACTGTACATGTTGCAATTCAAAGGTTTCGCTTTTGGTTTCGTGCTAATAATTTGTGTTTTGAGTTTTTATTGCATTTTGAGCTATACCATAAAAGCTCATGTTTGACACATTAATAGCTGATATTTGTCACTATATGTAGTGAGAACCAGTCCATTTACAATGGCAAGTCATGCTTATGTTACATAAGGCAACAAACACATCTGTGGCCTTTATTCACCTCATCTCAAAGAGAGATACCATTCTAAACTTTAGGAATACTTTTCATATCAAGTATTAATGCAATGACATTATTTGGACCACAGACACCTTTCATGACTATCCCTGCTGTCTCCCTGTTTTTGTGTCTGTACTCCATCAGCTTTAAGCATCACTGTGAGCTGTTTGGATTTGAACCTTCCATCCATGTTATATTTCATTTCAGCATTTGTTTTTCATTTTCATTTCAAACCTTTATTTAACCAGATTGGTCCCATTGAGATCATAGATCTCTTTTTCAAGGGAGACCTGCAACCATTCCATCAGCAGCATCCTATAATGCACTTATTTTCTGGTATTTGGAAAACAACAACAGTTCAGGAAGCCTCTGTGGATGCAGTCGGTTTTTCAGGTTGAACTGGTTAGTCAGGCATTACTCCGACTGCTGCAGCTTTGCTAAATGCCTGAAGAAGACCTCGGCTACAAATTGGCAATGTCAACAGAAACTGATCCGAGCTCTGTCTGAAACTCTCCTTCTCTCTCCCCCCTCCCTCTGCTGGCCCCTAACACTGGCTTCCACTTTATGCACCCTACTCGCTCTAAACTCTGCCCTTCATTGAAAGCAATACTGGGCTCCAAAATGAATTTGTCTATGATTACTCATGCCCTGGCGCGTTGCGAGCACCGGGTAATGTCTACTTCATTGAATTAGGAGGCATCCTGTTCTCCATCCCCTCTTCTCCATCTCCATCCTTGCCCGGGGGTGGCTATTGATTGAGGTGGTCTGGCTCTCGTATAAGGCTAGCATTACCTATAGATCCAGACAGCCGCAGCCTGTCGGCAAATGCAGCGGAAGGGAAAACATGAAGCGATTAGTCACTGCCTTAATACAGCTAATTTCTGCTGAAAGCAGCAGTATGGGGGAGTGCAAAGGTAAAGGTGAAAGGAAGTGGAGACTAGCATGACTGCTAGAGCGCTAGCCTCAATCACACACCTGGCTAATGGCTAAGATGCCGTGTGCTGAATAGACGGACTCACAAAAAGGCGCTGAACCTGTAAATCCACCTCCCTCTGGAAGTGTGTAAAGTTTCCATTACACCAGTGCAGTGGCTGAATGTGAGAGACGGACCTAGTGCACCACAACATATGTTGTACTGTATTATTTGAAATAGGTACCCAATCATTTTTCAATCAGGTGTTGCAGGATCTTATATCTTTTATACTAATTTAATTAATGACAGGTCTAGACATGCACATCACAGATCTCAAAAAACATGTTCCACAAAGTCTTGCAAAGCAATGCATGATCCCAGAACCTCCAAAAGGCCTCCCATTGGCTCAGACAGCAACATTTGAAACATCTATATTTTACTTGAGGGGATCCATTTCTCTTGGTTCAACTGTGCGGGGTTTTCTTTCCACAGAAGAAGGATAATGTTAAGCAGGTACATAAAGTACTTCCTGCTTTGGTGACTGATGTAATTCTTAAAATTAGGGATCGACCGATATGGCTTTTTCAAGGCCGATACGATACAGATTATTAGTAATCAAGGAGACCGTTAACCGATATACATTTGCAGTAAAATCAGAAAGTCTTGGTGTCAAAATGTAGAATAACATAAACTCCAACACAACTTCTTTGAAATGCATTTAAGCATATATTTAATTAACTTTTCAACATCTTAAAACAAGAAGTGCAGGGAGCTTCCAGCAGCATTTCTTATGAAGCTAGTTTCTCTCATGAACTGATAGGACTCATTTTAATTTGTGAGACATGTGTAGCTTTTTTTGTTACATGTTTCTATTGCTTTCATTAATAAATGCTCAATGTTGGCAGATAATTGTGTTAGAGATATCAAAGTTTCCAAATATAACTGGTTTGTGACCCTGAGTAAAGTAAATGAAGTCAAAATTAAATAAAAACTACTAAAACATGTTCGAATAGTTCTCTCTTTTTTCACCATACCTGTGTTTGCATCACTGTGCTCAAGCTGTGGACCCGCTCCCTCCCCGCCCCCACCACTCCTAACAACGTTAACAGACAGCAGAGCAGTGGGAGCCGGTTGGTCAATCCCCGACCCGTACAGATCTAACATCCAGTAGAAATGATAAAAAGTAAAACTCTGCTGCTTATTGTTCTACTAGGCCACAATAGAGTCAAAGACTATATGAGAGTGAGAGTGTGTTAATTAATATATTTGGCAGTTTGGAGTGAGTCTGTAGATTTGTTTGTGTGTGTGTTTCATGTATAGGCCTCTCACGATAATTAATTTTGTTGGATACATTTTCCCGGAAATTATTGCGATAAACGATAATATTGTCGGCACCGTTGTATGACCATTTTAGACCACTGACATAATGATAATATATAATAATAATTCAAGTACATCCTTTCAAACTGCTAGTCACATCCTCATGTAAATGGAAACTTATCGAGTTCATTTTTAATTATCGTACGATAAGTCAATGAATTGCTTATCGCGACAGGCACATAATAAAATAGTGGAAACAAACATGTGTTTGACTTTCATTAGTGAATGAAACTTTGTGTCCTTTATAGTCTGTCCAATATTGTGTATTTGTATATTGTATATGTATCCTTTATATGCTAAGGTCCCGCTGCTGACACGATAGCAGTCATTTATGGGCTCAGAACAGTCTCATAATACACACATGCACACAGAAGGACTCACACTTGTATTTCATGATCCACACTTGTGTTTTTCAATGCACACACAAATGTGTTCCGTTTCATATACATGTAAATAAAATCCAAATACAGAAAACATTTTTACATATGTATTTTTGATCCTCACATATTTGTTTTCCGTTTAAAACCTCTGAACCTGCAACACAAACCGCTTTCTGTGCACGGATCGCTGTGCATTCGTGTGTGACTCCCCTGACGGTCAGCCGATTCGTACTTGTAATTGTTTCTATCTATAGCCAATCAGATGTCTCATTCATTCTAAGCCAATCACATGAGCGCGCCCCCACGAGGATAAGATTACTTCATATACGCATTTTGCGCAGTCCGGTCAGCTCGCTAAACAGAGGGCGGAGCATCAGGTGATCATGCAGAGCTGCGTGTCTCTGTCAGACTCAGCAGCTGATCTGATCTCTCTCTCGCGTCCGGTTATACTTCACTCGCGTTTATGTCCATATCGATCAGATCCAGCTCTCCTGATCGGCCTTTATAGAGAGCACCGATCAAACTATTAAGAGTGAATATCGGCCGATAATGACCCGCGGGGCTCCCCCCGTTGACAGTTCACTGTCTAGCCCTGGCTTCGTAGTGCACTGATCGATTATGCTAAGCTAACTTGTAGCTGCTCCCTCCACACTCACAACAACTTCATACAGACATCAATAAAGCAGCTGTATTCGCCATACAGGAAACACACATTTAAAACGGTTTTGCCTGCCGTTTTTGTGTACACAAGCATTCATCAATGGTTCGGAAAGTGGCGCTGTACCTTAATAAAATAAAGGCTTGTATTTGCGTGCATTTCCTGTTCGGAAAGTGGCGCTGTACTGAGAGTGGAGGTGTCCTGAGATTAGCGCCTGCAGGCAGGCTCCATGGACCTGTCAGCTCCGGACAGCGCAAAATGCGTACATGAAGCGCTACGTCATGAACGCAAGAGATCTACCCTCGTGGGGGCGCGCTCATGTGATAAAAAAAATGAAAAAATATATATTTTTAATTTCTATCTTTTTTTTTATCCCCAATTTTTGGCGCCCCCGATGGGTTGATGCCCTTAGCATTCACCTATACTGCCTGTGCCAAGGGCCGGCCCTGATTAAACCCATGATATCAAAATCTCACTCCAGCCAGGTACCCACAGTTGGCAACCTTGAATTAGTGTTTGGTATGTTTTCTATCTACTACTTCTCCCATTCACAAATCTGAAATCAAATCAAAAAATCAAAAATTCTATTAATGTAGTGACCACGATATCCATTTGTTTTTTGTTTTTTGTCCTTTGTTTGTGGCTCACTCGTGGGGCTGACCGACGAATAGACGCTTGTAGTTTGAGAGAAAACATATAAATGTCCAGATGCGATTGAAGAGTAAGATAGTTTATTCCAAAAAAGGCAAAAATAAATAAACGTTTTTAAACAAACTATTTGTCATATAAACTGATATTTCAATGTTAAAGGACCAAGAACCAAGCTGTGACGCTCCCAACCAGCAAGGTCTAAAAACTGTTTGCTTCAGTCAGCCACACCAGTAGGCTGCAGCACCTCTCCTTTTATGCTGCAGCACCTCGACCTGCAGAGTAACGCACTCAAATAATAAATAAATAATATACACAACAGAATCTCAGGTTATACTCTAAAAAGATAAGATACTATAATCTAAGGAAATGGCTCCTACATAACCGGCCTCTAATTGTATTTTGGAGTACCACAAAACAATTATCAAATATACAAAAAATAGGAGCCTACAGTCAGGATTTCTATTCATTTCATGAATCCAGTCATCTATCAATATGAGTTGTGTGGTGTTACTCATCCTGACTACATGATATCATCGTGCCATCAGCGAAAGAAGACTCTTTGCTGCCGTCACTCTTCACATTCTAACAGCAGACAGATCTTGGTAATTGGCCTCTCCAGCACACTGGTCTGTGTTTTAACTTTGACAGCTCGAACCAGTCCTTTAGTGTCTGCCATAGCTTCTAGCACTCTTCCCAGGATCCAAGAGCTACGGGGAGCAGTAGGGTCAACTACCATTTTAAAGCTTCTCTTCTCCTTGCACCATGTATGTCTTTCTTGCATGAGGGGTAAGTATTCCCGGCACCAGCGTTTCCAGAATAAGTCTGCCATGTATTGCACCTGTTTCCATCGGCGTCTTACGTAAAGGTCCTTCTTGTCAAAAACTCCAGGCGACAGAATTGGCTTGGTTTTTAAGAGCAAGATGTGATTTGGGGTTAGAGGCTCCAGGTCTTGAGGGTCATTTGAGACTGTTGTGATTGGTCGACAGTTCAAAATGGCCTCTACCTCACATAAAAGGGTTTGTAGCCCTTCTTCATCCAAAGTCTGCTGCTTCAAAACAGAATAGAGAATCTGCCTCACAGACTTAATCAGACGCTCCCATACTCCTCCATGGTGGGATGCTCCTGGGGGGTTGAAACTCCACTTTATGCCCTTTTGCAGCAGAGCTTCCTGAATTCTGTGCTGGTTCAGAATGGAGAGGGCTTCCTTCAACTCTCTCTGAGCTCCAACTAAATTGGTCCCATTGTCAGATCTTATATGTTTCACTTGACCTCTTCTGCATATGAATCTTCTCAAAGCGTTGATACATGAGTCTGTATCAGTGAGCTGGCGACCTCAATATGCACAGCTCTGCTTGTCATACACGTGAACAGCACTCCGAACCTCTTTAATGTGGTACGTCCTCTTTTGACTTGAATAGGGCCTAAGCAGTCCACACCAACATTGGTAAATGGAGGCATGTCTGGCTCAAGCCTTTCCTGTGGCAAGTCAGCCATCTTCTGCTCTCCAACTTTGGCTATTAGTCATCTGCACAAAACACAATCTCCCAATGTTTCTTCGTATTTTTCGTCAGAATGTATTATGGCAACCCTGTCTCCTAAAAATTACGTTCCCACAGAACTAAACTGCATTCTCAATTACGTTTAGCTAGAAACGTATTTTCTCCCACGTTACGTTTCTTATGAACGTATCTCAAATACGTTTATTCTCTACATATCTTTGCCATCTATTGTCTTGCTTATAATAATGATAATAGTCATTTATAAATATCATTTTGGAGCACACATTTAAAATCAGTAGGCGAGGCTGTAATTTCGCCAGCTGTTACTCTCCTGAGCGAGGCAGAAAATAATAGTTTTAACATGCCAAAAAGCTGCTGTGTCGTTTATTGCACCTCAAACATTAAAACAAATCCAGAGTTACGTGTTTCTGTACTTACTCTAAGAAGAAAGGACAGTAACAGAAGATCTCTGTGAAGCCAGATGTGGTGTTGTTAATGCAATATTATATCCCAAAAAATGTCAGTTTAGGATGGCCGAAGACACTACACTACCCATAATCCCCAGCTATCGTTTGGGACTACAGTCCCGTTGACAAACCCCGTGATTAATCTTCAAGCTCTGGGATTGGATGTTGGAGTGGCAGTGCGCCAAGGTTACGCCGAGCGTCAAGCTCTTTGAAATGGAACGAAACCACGGCAGACTATTCAAAACTGGACTCGAACGCCCCCCCAGAACTACACATGCTGGCTATTGTGTTTCGCAACATGTTCTCTATGGCACGTCTCTACTGGGAATTGTAGTTTTAAAAGACATTTTCGTTTTTCCCAAAATTAGAAGTTAACAGTATTAAACTGTGTTCAGCCCTGGAGGTTTAGGCGACAGGAAACACATTGGTGTGTACAAAGGTAAAACATGTAATTACTAAATGGGTGAAAATCACTTGTATCCATAATGGGCAGCATTAATATATACCCACATCACAGCTCATTGTTACATTGTAATTCTACTCCACTACAATTCAGAGGTTAACCTGGTATTTTTACTCCACTACATTTATTTGAGTTACTTTGCAGATTCTGATTAATGATGTGAAATATAAACAACCCTTAAATCAGACTTTAGTTACACCTGAGTAAAATTCAGGTAAGGTGATTGTCAAGTGCCAACAATCAGGAGAGATATTTGATTGTTGGTGCTTGAGAAGACTAAACATGTATCTGCAGATCTCTATAAAGTATATTCATTACTCGTTATTCTCTAATAGTTCATTACAAACTGTATATAATTGCTATTTTGCACATCCCTTTCAATATTTCAAGATTTTCAAAGGTTTATTGACATATCATATACACAACTACGGTGTAGTTATGCAATGAATGAAAAACTTGGGTCACAGGTTCCTCAACAGCGCATTACAAGACATCTATCAATATGTGTATACCTCCACCATTAAACTGTCATATTCTGCACATTTATTATACTATCTACATACATAAGAGTATAATTAATGTGTATCAGTTAAAATAAGTGCTTCAACATAGTTAACATTGCAGGAAAGAAATATATTAGACGTTAAGTACTTTGTCAGGCTTAATATTTATCTGTAGATAGATACCCCCAAAGCTTTTTTCTTATTTGAAAGAAGACCTTAACCTAAAGTATTCTTTAATGTGTTAATAAAGGTTCATTAGTTTGTCTGTTTTGCACATCCTCATATTAATATCTTTGTGCATCCTGCACTAAACTGTTTTATTGTAGAGATCACTTACAGTATCTTCTTGATTTTTTATATTCTATATTTCTATCACAGACCTTCTACTTTCCCCCTATGAAAGTATGTACTCTTAATATTTTTTTCATCAAATAACATTATTCAACAAAAATAACACTATTCAACAAAAATAATTCAATAACGTGCTTTAACCACTAGGCGGTGCACACAAGGTACACACAGTATACTAATAATAACTTTGTATTATTAGTGTAGGACACTTATGTATGTATAACATCTGAAGATGTGTAGTTTTATTAATGTTTTTACATAATTTTACAGGATATTGCTATACTATTTCTCATGTTTTACTACACATTAATATCTGATTTGTAAAACATCACAGACAGAAAGGCATATCTGTCATTTAATGGTAAGCTATTGAAATTGTGATTCCATAGATGTGTCTCCCATCACCCAAAACCCCTGACTATTCTCTCAACTCAGTATTTACATTCTTATATTCAAAGAAAATCAGTAATATCTTTAAAAACTACAAGTCCTTTTCTATTAGCTGTGCACCGTTATGGTGTAAATACAGCCTATCTACCAATTGGATCAAATATAAAAGTCAGTCGAATTACTATTGATACTGCAAGGAGACGTATTTTGTGAAAATAAATGCAAGATGTTTAATTGCTGATATATTTATTATCCACGTCACGTATTCAGTTTTGACGGCAGTTCTCCTGTTTGTCTAGAAGTCTTCTCATCAGGGCTCTATAAATAAAGAACTACGGCAGAGATGTAATATTTAATGCAGCCGAACCATGTATTACAATGCCGTTATGTGATGACTTTCAAAGAGAAAAGCAAGAACACTCGGAATAAAGTATTATTTTATTTGTTTTAAATGTTTTCTGATATCATATCGCATTAACATCATATCCCAACATGCATTGCGGCTAAAACATCCAATCAACGAGCTTCAAGCTGAGGATCTTGGGTAATCTGTTCAGTTGGTGGTTTGTGGTGTGTATCACTCGAAATTCCCTTATAGGCCTACGTCTGTTTCCAGTGACTTTATTTATGGCTAAAAAGCCCAAGATTATAGAATTAAACGAATAAATAAAAACAAGGATAATTGTGTGTTATTGTTGAGTAAATAACAGTGTGTTATTTAGAAAATAATAACAAATTAGAAGGAAAAAAAGATTTTCAAAAATACAGATTTCAGTATTTTGAGGCTCTAAGCCCCATTTCTTTTCCTCACAGACGGCAAAAAAAGTCAGACATTATACGATTTAAAATAAAAACAAATAAATAAAAAGATAAAACACTGGCATGTAATTTACGTTAGAATAAATAGAATGGTTTTGAATAATAGATGAGAGTAATATCTACGTCACTTTACAGCCCCGCCCACTTTTGGGGAAACCAACGCTGTCATTTGAACGGCGATCAAGCCTGAAGCCACAGAGCTCTTCTGTTACTGTCCTTTCTTCTTAGAGGAAGTACAGAAACACGTAACTCTGGATTTGTTTTAATGTTTGAGGTGCAATAAACGACACAGCAGCTTTTTGGCATGTTACAACTATTATTTTCTGCCTCGCTCATGAGAGTAACAGCTGGCGAAATTACAGCCTCACCTACTGATTTCAAATGTGTGCTCTAAAATGATATTTATGAATGACTATTATCATTATTATAAGCAAGACAATAGATGGCAAAGATATGTAGAGAATAAACGTATTTGAGATACGTTCATAAGAAACGTAACGTGGGAGAAAATACGTTTCTAGCTAAACGTAATTGAGAATGCAGTTTAGTTCTGTGGGAACGTACTTTTTAGGAGACAGGGTTGCCATCAGTGGCGTCGCCTGACATGGGCATTCGGGGCTTTAGCCCCGAATGTTTTTTCTGTAGCCCCGGCCAATTCTCCCTCAATAATATAATACATTAACCGTGCTTTACGTGAACTTCATCATGACACAAGAGAGGACGGTAGGACTGCGATTTCCCGTGTTCAGTGAATGCAACAGAGGCATGACACCAGACCAATCAGAGAGTTGCATGGAAATAAACGTGTGTGTGTGTGTGTGTGTGTGTGTGGCAATAGCGCATTTAGTGTGATCGAGAGAGGGAGAGAGAGGGACCGTGTTGTTAGCATCTGGTTAGCTAGCTGCACTAACGGACATAAGGAGCTGTTTGTTCCACAACAAGCTGGAGGAGGGTCCTCTCCTCTCAGACTGAGAGACTCAGGTGAGCTAAAGGACTCTGCATGTTTAGATAGTTCACTTTAGTCTTGCATTCACACCTAATAGTCCGCTTCTCTGGTGAGCACCAGACAACAGTTTGTTACATTGTTTCATTTTTTCTGAAGGTTTGGTTTGCGTTCACACAGGCAAAACTCAAACGGACTATAAACTTTAAACACAAGCCATGTGCTCGGAAATGCTGTTCAA